TCCTGCCAGCGACGCTCACCTGTGAGGTTGTGCTACAAACCAAGAGCAGTAACAGTAATAACAACAGCAAGGACAACGACGACAACAACGACGACAACAACAACGACAACACCACAGCCCCCCCACCCCCGCCGCGGGCCCGCCCGGGAGCCGCCATGCCTTTCTCCAGCTCGGAGGCGGACGACGCCTTCGACTACCTCTTCAAGATCATCCTGATCGGGGACTCCAACGTGGGGAAGACCTGCGTGGTGCACCGCTTCAAGACGGGGCAGTACAACGAGAAGCAGCAGAACACCATCGGCGTCGACTTCACTGTGCGCTCGATGGACATCGACGGCAAGAAAGTGAAGGTCGGTGGCCGGAGGGAGCCCACGCTTCCCCGTGGGCTGCACCGGCTTCCCCGTTACCGCGTCGCTGTTCCCGTGCAGGGGCCGTGGGAGGATGCGTGGCATCTCCCGCCTGGCCCTGCTGAAGGCAGCAGGGGAAAGCCGGTGGCCTTTCCCGCCAGGGCTGTTGGCGAGGGGAGCTCTACCTCAGGAGGATGCCCTGGGGGATGCAGTTACCTGATATTTGAGTGCCTGCTTGCCCTCGTGGCTTCTCAAGATCTACCTGTGGAGAGGACTCACGCTCTGCTTGCAGGGAGTTCTCCAGAAGCCAGCTCTGGTTTGGAGAGGGCGTCGCTTCCCTCCGTCAGAGATGTGGGGGTTTGAGCTGGGGCACCAAGGAGGGAGAACCTCTAGTTTGCAAAGGCTCCATTTTGACGCACGCTTGGTCTGAGGGAAGATGAAGGCTTGCAAGATGAGCACCAGAAGACACTGTTAGTTACAACTTACCACCGTGCGCCAATGAAAGTTCAGATGCCTGCCCATTTGATATAGCTTTGCTTTGCCCAGCCTGCATCAGGGCTTCTTGGCTCTTCTCCCTTGCCTATTAAAAGGCTATAACACCCTTTTAGTACAGTTTTTGAAACTGTGTTTCCCGGTCTCTTGGCAAAGCTTTCTCTTTGGTCTGTGTAGGTTGTCTTTACAGGCATGTAAATGTCCCTTCAGACCTGGGGAGGGCAAAGCCACGCTGCGGGTGTAGTGGCGTGAGCTGGGACAGGTCTAGCTGCCTTCTAGACAAGGGGTTTCAAAAGCATAGATGCTGATGGCAAACACCCAGGAAGCAGAGTTCGCTGTTCTTTACAGCTCCTATCCTTTCTCTTACAGATCCAAGTGTGGGACACGGCTGGTCAAGAACGCTTCCGGACTATAACCCAGTCTTACTACAGGAGTGCCCACGGGGCCATCCTTGCCTATGACCTTACTAGGAGGTCCACATTTGAATCCATTCCTCACTGGATTCATGAAATTGAAAAGTATGGTGCTGCAAACTTGGTCATGATGTTAATTGGTAGGAATCTAACCTTAAATATTACGCTGTATAGCTTTTTTAAAACATGCATAAACCCCCCCTTGCTTTCCTCCCACTACCTAAGCATCTATAAACTATGCATCAAAGAGTGCAGTTGTACTTAAAATAGATCAGAAATTGTATCAATTTGACCTAAGCTTAAAAAATTGGGAAAGTCATAGCCTGGTCCTGACAGGATCAACCCCATTGCAGGCAGTGCAAACTTTTTATTTGTTCCTTTCCTGCTGGAATAATGCAGCAAATTTGCTGCTAGTCTAGCAAAGGGGGACAACCCTTACTGAGGCTAGAATTGCAGTAAGTCTGACCCCGTACTCCCGATGCGCAGGAATTTAGTGGCTCAATAATTCATGATGAAGATGAACGTGCAGAGCAACACAACTCCTCGTTCTCATCTTTCCTCTCTGTTCTTCTGCTATGCATGTGCGCTGCTCTGTAGTGGGACACCGATCAGGTAAGACAGCAGATGGGGACATGGCTTTTACAGAGTGCAAAGTAGTCTGCTTGCATTCCTCCTCGCTTATTCCACCAGTGTTTGAGAAACTTTGCCTTTTGAGGAAAGGAATGGGTAGAAATTCCTGAGACTGGAGCTGGTAGGAAGCGGCGTGGTTCTTTCCCTTTGTGTTTCAGGTTAGTATTGCTCTTCCCTTCCCCAAGGAAGAAGCTGCAAATGAGAGAACTGGTGCAGTAAAATGACAGAGCTTTTATTTCCATTCCACTGCGTCTGCCTGTTCCGCTTGTGGCACTGTGCTGAGAGCAACGCCTGCAGCCACAGCGGCCCAAACTGGCTCTTGAGCCCAGGCAGCGCTGAGCCCCGCAGCACAGCAGGCGTGGGACCTAAGCTTCTGCTTGCGCTCCTCGCCAGCGACTGGCTGCTGCTGCTGCGGTGGTTCTTCCTGTTCTTCCTGGGAAGAAACAAACAACAAATCCTGACCTGCATGTAACTGCAGTGCTTGGCATGA